ACACTGTAGTCCCATTTCTCGTCCGACCAGCGAGTGCTGGACTGCACATGCTAGTTAGAAACCATCTAGAAGAGCAAACGCTCATTTATAATCAGAAATGTTTGAAATGAGCTTGACTAGGAAAGATCTGCATATTATTATTATTATTAATGGATACACAACTGCATACAAGCGGAAATCAATTCGAATTGTAACAGTATCAGTGGCATTTTCATTCTATTAGAGCTTTGTAAGAACCATGAAAAACGGCTTCTTAGTAAATTCTTAATAAACATCAGAATTGAATGTCAGGCCGAATGATAAAAACACAAAGGAGATATGATAAATTGAAAGCAAAAGTGCATCTGATACTTCAGTTCTGAGAGCGCTAGGCTGCCAGCATGACGTCTATATATTGTTTTAAAAGGAAGAAAGAGAGGAGATGAGGGTCGTTTCCCTTTGGCTCTATTCTCCATACACACTCTCGTCACTGTAGGCGATGTAAAGGAAGAAATCTTCTTCGTGATGTTCCTGTGTGTGAGAAAGTGTAATTATAAGAGGAACAAACTGATACTGATGTGGACAAACCAATCAGAGTGAAAGAAAGAGCGAGAGATACCTGGTACAGCTGGCCCATGGTGGCGGAGGTCGGGGGAATGACGTTGTTTACGAAGAAGAACAGAGCATCCTCGGCTCTCAGGTGGATTCGCTTTCGGATGAGAAAGTAAAACTGGCCCACTAAAAAAAAATTAGCAGACGCTTTTATCCAAAGTGACTTACAAATGAGGACAACGGAAGCAATCAGAATCAACAACAGAGCAATGATACGCATGTGCTATAACAAGTCTCAGTTAGCTTAACGCAGTACACGTAGCAAGGCTTTTTTTTTATTATTATATAATAAATAAAAAGAAAACAGATAGAATACAATATCAGTATTAGTTGATAAATAGAGTGCGAGTCTAAAAGGGGCAAGTTTTTTTAAAGAATAGAGCGTGCTAGAGTTATCGAGGGTCAAAATACAATAATAATTATAATATCTTCTGATGCAATCAGCTTCATTTTAAATGAACATCATTAAAAAAAAATAAAAAAGAAAACTTTCGAAACATAAAAGCACTTACCCGTCAGGTCAGAGGGGACCAGGTATTTCTTCTTGTCTAGGTCACCTATTCTGGCTTTAGGAGCTTTTTCCACAATTACCTAATACAGAATCAAACAAACACTTGTAAGTGTAGAAAATGTAGTGTACAGTTAAAGAAACAGTTCACCCAAGAGTGAAAATCAGCTGACAGTGTACTCATCTTCAGGTCATCCACGATGTAGATGAGTTTGTTTCTTCATCAGATTTGGAGAAATGTAGCATTGCATCACTTGCTCAGCAATGGATGCTCTGCAGTGAATGGGTGCCGTCAGAATGAGAGTCCAAACAGCTGATAAAAACACCACAATCCACACCACCCCAGTCCATCAGTTATTGCCTTGTGAAGTGAACAGCTTGTATCTATAATATACAAGCAACAACAGTACAGTTCTGAACAAATATGTTGGTGGATTTTGATATGAGAGTATACGGGATGGACTTTTTTGACTCGAGGAAGCAATATTCTGGATTATGGACTCATATTTTGACCAGAAGTTAAAATATCTTGACGAATTTGTGTCTTACAAACAAGCAGCTTTTCACTTCATAAGACATTAACTGATGGACTGGAGTGGTGTGGATTACTTGTGGATTATTGTGATGTTTTTATCAGCTGTTTGGACTCTCATTCTGACGGCACCCATTCACTGCAGAGCATCCACTGGGGAGCAAGTGATGCAATGCTACATTTCTCCAAATCTGTTCTGATGAAGAAAAACTCATCTATATCTTGGATGGTCTGAGGGTGAAATTTGCAGCTAATTTTCTTTCTTGGGTAAACTATTCCTTTAATCCAGCGTTAGATGAAACCGGGAGAAACTACTGGTTTACTTTCAATCGATTTTACTCATTCCTTTCACTTTTCAAGCCCACTATGTGTGATTTTTTTTTGACTCCGAGTAAGAGGATCTGAGAAAAGCTGTGCTATTTTTGATAATTAGGCTGCAGATGAGGAACAAGATAACTAAATGAACCACTTCAGACCCATGACTATTTAAAACTACTACGTTGCTTCACATATGTAAAACATCCATTAGAGGGTCAGAAATTAACCAGGACTTGGGGGAAATGCCACCAAAAGTATAAAATATCTCAGAAAATTGAGTGTTTAATATTTGTTAATTGATTCAGCTGAATCAAGCTGTCTGTTTTATATGGTATCAAACATATTATTAATAATCTTTTGATAGTAACAGGTCCAAACAGGGGAGGGAAAAAAATACTTGAAATTATGGCAATATTTAATCGACTGCTTGTTTTGTTGTTCTTCTGGTTTGGTTATGTATATGGTAAACGAAGCCAGCCTTGTGGATGTAAACATGTTGACTGAAGGACATCTAGGCTATTTTAGGAATCACCACTTCCACATGGTCCTAAATGTATTATTTTACCCCACAAATGCAGTTTAAATAAGACAACAAACACATAATGCACGGCATTACACTACAGGAGTTCAATCTGTCCATAAAGCCTTGAGGATTAAAGCAGATCAGACCATACAAAACACAAACCACCTTAACGAGTATTAAACTGTTCAAAGCAGATTCGATCTGAAAAGAGTGATTTCAAATACGCTATTAGTAAGCATAACACGAACAGACATTTTATTTAAATAATAATAAAGAAGCTGAGAGATCAACAAGGCCCACCGCAGTTTCGCCCTTCATATGCTACTAAAGCTAAACCGGTTTACGTTCGTGTAAAAGACGAATAAACACAAGATGAGTTTGTTTTTATGACGGACAAATCGGTTCAACCGTGTAGATACATCACGCCCTTCACGTTTGTGGTTCACCATAACGCTAGCTTGTTTACACTAACATCAAACCGACTTACAGGAACCCTGTCTGGATATTTCTTCCTGATCTTCTCTCCCTCCGATCGCCTCTTCTCAAAAGGATGCTCTTCTTTGTATTGAAACTTCATGGTTGTTAAAGGAAGAGTAAACTAGTCTTACAAACACACACACAGAGGTGTCAGAGATGTAACCAAGCGCTTCACACACAGCTGCTATGCTTTCCCTTCTGCGCATTGATACGGACGCACTATATTTACATTATTTTTGTCAACTCAAAACAGCATTTTCCCCAAAAATCACACGATTTGATATATTTGATATAAGGCTTATTAAAGATGCTCGACGGCTACTAAAGACGTTTCTGATATCGCGTTATGTTGTGTTCGTAAGGTAGGGACTACTTTTTCCGCTCACGCAGTTATACGAGCGGTGCTCCGGTCAGTCATATGACCGTCTGCCCTCACTTCCGGTATCCGAATTGACGCAGAGGTGCTTTAAAAATGTTACTTGAAATTAAATAAATGTTAACTGGAGTGATCAAATAAAACTTAAAATTAAAATAAAATATAAAAATAAAAGAAAACAAATTTCATTCATACTAAAATAAACACTGGAGCAAATGTGACAAAGGTTATGTACACTCTATGCATAAATTTGTATACTATTGTATAGTTTGTTCTAATAAAAAAAATGACTAATCGCTTCGCTCATAACGTGAGGAAACAGAAATAATTTTATAGATAGACAGATAAACACACACACACACACACGTGTCTGTGTATATATATATATATATATATATTGTCTTGTTGTATAGTACGTGTAAAATCATGTAAAACAAGATTAACAAAAATTATTAAACAAAACAAAAATGGTTTAAGAAAGGATTTTAAACAATTAAAATTGTGTAAGATAGGATTTCTAAATATATTTTTTGTACCCTACCAACAAATTTGCTTATTTATGTTTTGTTTTTAAGCTCGATTCAAACTACTTTTAAGCTTAAAACAAACAAATTTCTATTTTGTTTTCGTTTAGTTTTTCTTTCTTTTTTTAAATGTAAAAAGCCTTTTTTTTTTTTGCATCAAGAGCAAAGGAAACGTGTTGCCTAAAGAATATTTTGCATTAGAAATGGTTTTCTGCAACTGGTCCCTTAAACTTGAAATAAGATAATCAAAGAAAACTGAACCCATAGAATAGGATAGTGACACGTTTTTATTAGTAACGTGCACAGGTCTACGGACTTGTGTCCCAGGAAGCTGCCTTGAGACTTCACAAGTGTTAGATCCAAGTGGTAGGATTTCATAACCAACCACATACATTCTGTAGAGAAGAATTAGCGCAGAAAGGCTTAAAATCTGTCATTCAGCTTCTTCAAAGCTCGTATTCTATTACATCCTCCCTGATAATCATGACCAATTCATTTACTGCCAAGAATAAAATAGGATGAGAACTGACCAGAAGAACAAAACTTTTGCCGCTAAATTGATCTCCATTATCAGTTTCATGACCCTTTAAGTAGTTGCAACCTAAAGTTCAGATGTTCTCAACATTAGATTCATTATATGCATGTATGATCAATCCTTTTAAAGCCAACATTACAATCCATAAAGTGATGCATTTCAGAGTAAAATTAATAGGGTGCTTGATTTCATCCAAACTATTTGGATTCTGTAAAGTTGTCTATAATATAATATGATATGACATATGATATGATATGATATGATATAATATAATATAATATAAGTGACCCTGGACCACAAAAGCAGTCTTAAGTCGCTTGGGTATGTTTTTAGCAATAGCCAAAAAAACATTGTATGGGTCAAAATTATTGATTTTTCTTTTATGCCAAAAATCATTAGGATATTAAGTAAAGATTATGTTCCATGAAGATATTTTGTAAATTTGCTACTGTAAATATATCAAAACTTAATTTTTGATTAGTAATATGCATTGCTAAGAACTTCATTTGGACAACTTTAAAGATGATTTTCTCAATATTTAGATTTTTTTGCACCCTCAGATTCCAGATTTTCAAATTGTTGTATCTCGCCCAATATTGTCCTGTCCTTTTCTCTTTTTTTAAATTGTCATCACAAAAACACTTAAACCAAAATGATTACAGTTAAATGTGTTATATATTTTTTAATGAGTGACTGCTAAGTAACTGTTACCAGAGATTTATTGCTTTGTACATTGAATATGGTTATTACCTGCTGCTATGACTATACCAGCCCTTTTCACAGGTTCTCCCTTGTTTTCTTAATGGAAACTTTTTGCCCCATCCCAGATAAAATCCCACACTACAGGTTACCTTTGGCTAACTGTGCAAAGAAATTGACACAACAGTAACAGTTTAGTAAAGTAAAACAATATAGTCATAGTAAAAAAAAAAAAAAAAACATTTGTAAAAAGGCGTCCAAGTGGTAGGATTTCATAACCAACCACATACATTCTGTAGAGAAGAATTAGCGCAGAAAGGCTTAAAATCTGTCATTCAGCTTCTTCAAAGCTCGTATTCTATTACATCCTCCCTGATAATCATGACAAATTCATTTTCTGCCAAGAATAAAATAGGATGAGAACTAACCAGAAGAATAAAACTTGCCACATAATTTATCTCCATGATCCGAATTTGGACAGGCCTACCATACAGAAGTCATTAAAACCCCAAGACAGTACCTCAATAATAGCATATACAACTCTACCATGATAACCCTGAAATCTACCAGTCGGTCATAATCCATGTCATTAGCAGTTTTCCAGTGAACTCTATTGGATGTGCAGAGTGCTGCTGGCCAGTTCTGAGCAGATCTCCATTCGCACCAGTGCAGTGAGGTATGACGTCCCAAGCTGGGATTGAAAACGCAAGTCACGAAAAGGTCTGTTTTTCTTGCCTCAAATATCTTCAAATATTTAAAAAGAAAAACAGCAGATGTCCTCATACACGCATACCACAAACATAACTTACACACGCGACCAGCATAGGTAGAGCTGTAAGGCAGAGACTCCATTTCGAAGAAGGGGAAAGAAAAAAAAAACCTTGGGAAAAAGTTTCCCCAAAATTTAGCCTGTTCCATCCCCTTTGAGTTCGGGACAGACTCTCCTTCCCTACGGCCGTCACGTAAGGCCGTTTCTGAGAGGTGGAGAGTCGAGGGAGAACGGACAGGCAGATGTCACGAAGGGAAGCAGTTGGAAAAAAACGAAATAAAAGAAGAGCGGACTTGAGGAAAGCCCTCGGTCGGATGATCACCAGAGTCGATGCTGGTGGAGATTCCTGCTCAGGACGGATCGTACATCTGCCGTGAATCTGAGAAGGGAACACATAGTGAAGCGGGGTTCAAGTTAAAGGGTTAGTTCACCCAAAAATGAAAATTAGCCTGTGTTTTACTCACCCTCGAGGCATCCTAGGTGTATATGACTTTCTTCTTTCAGACGAATCCAATCGGAGTTATATTAAAAATTGTCCTGGCTATTCCAAGCTCTATCATTGCAGTGGGTGGGTGTTTCTGTTGAACAGTCCAAAACACGTTAAATAAAGCACGCACATCTGTAATAAAACGTGCCTCACACGGCTCTGGGGGGTGAGTGAAGGCCTCCTGTAGCGAATCCATGCATTTTTGTAAGAAAAATATAGATATTTCAAATGTAATAAACACTTTTCTCTCACTTCTGCTGACTGTCGTATGCGTAAGCGTTCCGGGCGGATGACATAGGACGTATGCGTCGCGCGTGTGCCTCTGAAATACGCTAGTCTCACGAGTTTGTTTACAGGAGCAAAGGAAGCAAAGTTTCCTTACTTTGGAAACCAGTCTCCTCTTGGCTTATATCGAAACCCTCCGACATTTTTCTTTGCAAATCCTCGGTTTGTACTTCTAATTCATGACCGGCGTTTTGTTTTGTTCTCTCGTCGCGCTCGTCACTAATCACGCAACGCCAACGTCATCCGCCGGAACGACTTCCGCTTATGACAGTTAGATGAAAGTGTTTATTACGTTTGAAATATGGATATTTTTCTGACAAAAACGCATGGATTGGCTACAGGAGGCCTTCACTCACCCCCCAGAGCCGTGTGAGGCACATTTTATTACAGATGTGCGCGCTTTATTTAACGTGTTTTGGACTGTTCAACAGAAACACCCACCCACTGCAATGATAGAGCTTGGAATAGCCAGGACCATTTTTAATATAACTCCGATTGGATTCGTCTGAAAGAAGAAAGTACAGATGTGCGCGCTTTATTTAACGTGTTTTGGACTGTTCAACAGAAACACCCACTCACTGCAATGATAGAGCTTGGAATAGCCAGGACCATTTTTAATATAACTCCGATTGGATTCGTCTGAAAGCAGAAAGTCATATACACCTAGGATGCCTCGAGGGTGCGTAAAACACAGGCTAATTTTTATTTTTGGGTGAACTAACCCTTTAACACCATAAAAATTTAAACCGTATAAAAAAAACCACATAAAAAATCTTTACCTTAGTGCATCCAGCATGGGCAGCAGGTTAAGAAGTGCTGTGTCGCTTGGGTCACTAAACCATGACTTTATAGGTATTGCATTATCTATGGGCAAAAAAAACAGGAAAAATTTTACAAATAATCACATATTTATGGAAGCCTGTTTCCACCACTGAATAAAAAAAAAATTTTAAAAAAAGGTAATTGCGAATTTCTCTCTCAATTCTGACTTTTTTTCCCCCCCCACAGTTGTGAGTTTACATCTCGCAAATCTGACTTTTTTCCCAGAATTTTGAAATATAAACTAGCAACTGTGAGAAAATAAAACGTCAGAATTAAGGAACAAACTCGCAATTGCGAGAAAAAAAGTCAGAATTGTAGGACAAAAAGTCGCAATCATCTTTGTCATTTTTTATTCAGTGGCAGAAATGGATTTCCATACATATTCAAAACAAACACACGTTCTAGGGAAGAAGAACGATTTCTCAGTTGACTATATAAATCTTGTAGTTGACTTATAAATCTAAATAAAAAAAAATTGTGACTAATAGTGACAAAAACCCATCACAAAAGTCAATGTGCATTATCCAAGACAGCTCATAATTTATTGATCGGTTCTTCTAAACTGCTACTGTAAAGTGATGTATGAAGTGGTATTGACTGACTGCGGTTTTTCTTTATGGTCATTAAGGTCATGAAATACTAAACTACATTTTCTTGTGTTGCACATTGTAAAAGACAACAGCTACGTTTACGTTCACTGATGGCTCAATCGGATTGAAAATTCTTCATGTGAACACCTCAATCAAACTAATGAAACCAAAACCAAATGAAATTGATTGAATTAAAATGGTGTACACCTGGAATAAATCAACAGAAAAAAATTGAGCATGCAAATGCTTGAATCTGACTATTTTCTCAGTTGGATTTAAAAATACTAAGCACATGGCTGTGATCCGCATGTTTACATAGGTTTTACATCTGAGATTACTTACTGAGACTTACTGAGATTTTGTTTGGAATATGCAAACAAATATGTGAATCGGACTGCAATGCTTCATATAAAGAGAACTTTCAGAATCTGAAATCAGATTAGATTCATTCTGATTAACGAAAATTAGTGCATGTAAACATACCTAGGTGTTAGCATTCATTCATTTTAATTGTAGGAGAAAACAGTTGTCTTCGACAGACATATGCAATCCATCCATACGGTATAAACACAGCAAAATAACAGTCTAAAATGTGTTCAAAATGCAACAGTGCTTTTATATTTTAAGGTTTCTGCAGGTAAATGTAAGCCTTTTTCTAGACCTTTTTAAAACTAAAGAACATTGAAAGAATGAATCGACAAAATATGTCAATATATTCTCTAAATGTGAATGTCTAGGACAGTGTTTCCCAACCTTTTTTTAGTCGCGGCACCCTTTGGAAATGTTAACAAACTTGTGCCAGCAGTGAACTAATTTTCGGCAGCCGGAATTTCGGTGCATCTCTAATTATTGGCGACATCAGAAATGGATATTATATAATAGAAGCTTTTTTGAACATTTTAGCAATTTAAAAATATTAAAAAAGGATTTTTTACACGGCACCCCGGTTGGGAAACACTGGTCTAGGAAACACAGTGAGTTGTATTAGCATACTGAAAAAAAAAGCTCAGCTATGATGGAAATAATCTTCTGATGACACTGCAAAAACCTGATGTTCTTCCTCAGTATTTTTGTCTTGATCTGTCTAAAGATTCTTAAATAAAGATGGATGCATTTAAAACCAGAACAAATATTTGCGAATGGGCTCAGAACACCGTAATTTAAAGAGAAAGCAGGTTTTCATTCTTATTTCATGCATATCTTGGTTTAATAATGTTTAGCTATTTGAAGATATTTGCTTATTGCAGTGCATGCAACATTTAATGCCATAACTTTATGAATTTAAGATTTTCCGCTCTTATTTAAGACCTTTTTAAAGCCTTAATTTGTGGAAGAGCAAATTAAGATTTTTTTTAAGACCTGCAGAAACCCTGTATATATTTTCAATGCAGAGTACAAATGCTTTTATTTGTGCTATAAATTGCAGCTATCACAAGATGTGTATATTTGTATATAACATGCTGTGAGCTTTCAAACCCATATTTGTTTGTGATATTTGCTTATTGCAGTGCATGCAACATTTAATGCCATAACTTTATGAATTTAAGATTTTCCGCTCTGATTTAAGACCTTTTTAAAGCCTTAATTTGTGGAAGAGCAAATTAAGATTTTTTTTTAAGACCTGCAGAAACCCTGTATATATTTTCAATGCAGAGTACAAATGCTTTTATTTGTGCTATAAATTGCAGCTATCACAAGATGTGTATATTTGTATATAACATGCTGTGAGCTTTCAAACCCATATTTGTTTGTGTGTTGCATGCAATAGTGAACAGCGGTGTGCATTTGGGGGAACCTTTGATGCTCGTACATCAATTGTAAAATTGAGTGTAAAATACAACCGTCTTAATCAGAGCCATTGTTGCGTCTCCTCACTTCCCTCTCCAATTTGCAGTTTTTTTTGTTACTATTAAAATCTGTTGTTCAGCTTCTTCAATTACGTCATTCCTGATAATCATGATAGATTCATTTACTGCCAAGAACAATATAGGATGGGAATTGACCACAACAAAAAACTTTTGCTGCTGAATTGATCTCCATGATTGGTTTCATGACCCTTGAAGTAGATTTGCAACCTAAAGTTCAGATGTTCTCAACATTAGATTAATTATATGCATGTGTGATCAATACTTTTAAAGCCAGCATTATAATTTACTTCCATAAAGTGATGCATTTCAGAGTAAAATTATTGGATTCTGTAAAGTTCGTCTTTATATGACTACATAATATATAACATATAAATCCTGTATTAAATCTGATGTTTGCTTATGGTTCACATTGCTGTGACGCTGAACATGATAAACATGTCGAGGGTGAAATGGCCTGAAGTACACAAGCACATCATGCAGAGAGACCAGCTAGACAACCGCTCACACACACACACACACACACACACACACGTTAATCCTGCAAAAGTGCACTACACAATACAGCGTGCTGCTGAAATCAGGTCTAGTTTTACCTGGATGACTGCGATATGCTCCCGGCGAGTTGTCAAGAATGACTATACTTGATAAGTCATCATGTACAACGGACAGGTCTTTAATATAACTACCTGAATCCAGCGTACAGTGCTGCACAAGATAAAGACAACACAAAAAAAAGACAAAACATAAATTGCATTTCCTTTACGAATTTCTTCCATTTTCATTCTTCTCATGGCAAATGTTAATGCAAAATGAAACAGCAAGAGTTTCAGTGGTTACCTGTCTATAGTATCTTCTTTTCAGGATTCCCTTGTTGTTATCCAGCTTATCAGCTACTGCAGAACCATAGATCTCCATACTAGCAGTGAACACTACTAATTCATACCACTGACTGACCACCTCCAGGAAGAAGTCCACATGCGGCCTTTTATGCACAAAGAATCTGACCGGGTGTTTGTCTATTACCACCTGAAAAACAACAACAGCTTATATGAGAAAAATGAAAAAAAGACATGGAGTTTTTTTTTTTTAACTAATAATACAATACTACTACTACTACTACTACTACTAATAATAATGCATTATTATTATTATTATTATTATTGTAACACATTACAATAAGTTTACATTTGTTAATATTAGTTAACTACATTAGTTAACATGAACTAAACAATGAACAAAATACTTGTAAAGCATTTATTAATCTTAGTAATGAATAAGATTAAGAACAGAATTAAGAACAGACATTTCCAAGAATTACCCCGGCCTAGAATCATAATTGTTTTAATTGTTTATGGGATGCACCGAATGTTCGGCAACCGAAATTATTTGGCCGAAAATAGCGGAAAAGACCAAATAAATTGTACCGAACAATGACATGACGCTATCAAATAGCAACCAGCGCAGAGTGAGAGGCACGCACTCTTTATTATGCAGCACACACGTCAGCAGTGTGGAAGCATTTAAACTGTCGGAGAAGCAAAAATCATTACAAGCACCGACAGCGAGAGACTGTTTAGGACTGCAGCGCATGTCTTCGATGAGAAGAGGAAGGGGTGATTGTTGCTCGTTACTGTATGATGATTGAAATCGCGAAATGGCCTTAAACAATTAGTAAATAAACTGCAGAACGTTATGTTTTCTAAATCACGCACGCATTGCTGCACGAACTTGCAGCGGATCTGCTTCTTAACCAGGGTTCAAAGTCCAAAGCGAAAATCTGCACTGAAACACTGTTACTCGTCAGTTGCTCAGTCACATTGTTATGAATTTTTACAAGGCATGTGACAATGCGATACGTGCGACGTATTCGTAATGAGACTCATTTATAAATCTGCTGTTGTCAGGTCTAAGCATTGAGGTCTTCCTGCGCGTTTCCGCCAAAATAAAAGTTGACAAAAAGCAAGAACTCCATCAACATTCATAAA